CAGATCCATCACAGCCACAGAGCCAGCACTCACTCCCACCGCCTGGACTTGCATACCCGGCTGACTTGTGCCCTTTTAGGTCAGATTTAGGTAAATCTGAAATTAGGCAGGACAAACCATTACTGCAACAGTGCAGGAGAAACGCAGAGAAACAACTGGGGCCTCAGCATGCAAGGATTTCTGACTATGGGCCACAGAAAAATCTCCCTGAAGCACAGGAGTACGAGGTCTTTGAAGACCTGCTTCTGCAGAGCCAATGCCAGCAAAGAGAGGGCCACCTCCACACTGCTCCATACAGGTGAGGTGTTTGCATGCAGGTTCCTGGGATGGTTTACAGTGTTTCATACACTGTCTTGGACAGGGACCTCGCACAGGTGACAAAACTCACCTTTGTAACCAGATCCGAGTGCCTTATGATCGCTCTCACAAAGAACCTGTAGTCTGTCACCTCTGTTCCCACTTCAACTTTAGCTGCTCCCAGGTAGAGATGCATTTTGTGATTGGCACAAGGGATGGCAGTGAGATCAAAGTTCCGCATGCGGTTCAACTCCAGCTGAAAAGCCAGAGCTGGCTCCAGATGACGGTAAATCCTGTCTTCCTCAAACTGGAGCCACCAGCATCACAGAGGTAGGAAGGAGTGTAAAAGAGGAGGGCAGGTTAAGAAGCTGAAATGCTGAGGATGGGAAGAACTGGACAACATCCATTATGACATTTAATATTTAATTAAAAACCTAAAAATTCAAATTAATCCAACCCCAAATTTTTTATCTCATGCAGAGTCACGAGCACTAACAGCTGCACTGAAATTGTTGAAATACTGAGAGCAGAAGACTAACTGCAAGACAGCAAGTTCTCGAGCTCACCCCCACAAAACCTTTCTCTTTTCCACAACAGCCAGAAAGTTTGGTGTTGAATCACTGCACTGTGTCCAATGCTCCCTGGTTACACTGCAGCTAAAATCTGCATAAACAGAAGCTTCAGGTCAGGCTTCCAAATGCACAAATTTTTATCCCCAGATTTCAGAGGCTCATCATTGTTACTGGCATCAACTGCGGGCTGTGTGGACAACTGGTCTAGCGAGGCAGGAGAAAATACCTCACTAGGCTGTGAAGTTGGGCTGAAGGAGCTCCCACCCTCTTAGCCTCCCAAGGAACAGCTACATGGAAGAAGGATAAAGCCAACACTCAGAGAAAAGTATTAAGATCAGAGAACTTACCTTATCCCGGGCACGGAACGTGAAGAACTTTGGAAACTCCCTCTGTTTGAAAGGAAAAACAATGACGTCAGCCCTCCAAAAGGAAACCAGCTCATCTGCCCCGAGAGTGCTCACAGGCCAGACCTGGGGCAGCACCACAGCAGAGGAGGTGACAGAAGTTGTTACAAGCTACTTTTTCAGCATCACAAAGGGTGGTGCAAAATCATGTTACCCTCAGGAAAGCAGCAGAGGTGGTTTAAACCTGTCTTCGCTGCTAATGCAACAGAGGCTACTTAATTGGCTTTTGATTATTATAGTCAATTATTAACAGACAGTAACAAGGAACTGGCCAGACAGCAGTGGGAAACCTCTAGTTCTATGATGATGATGATTACTGTGGAAATGTTTGGGAGCCACACAATGATATTAACACTCCATTACATAAACAGAGGTACACAAAACAATGATCTGTATTCTCCAGCTCTCTTCACACTGTTACTGCTAGAAATACTCTCTCTTCCCAAGGAGAACTAGGAATTGTAAGCCAGTAACTTGATCCTCGTGTATTAAATAGTTCTCTACCAAAGTCCCCCAAATATGATTAGGTTTCTCTGTTATTCTGTTGCACAGATAAAATCCTAGCAAATTGTAAGGGCTTTACATTTTTGTGGCACGTGGCATGTGCCTTAGAAAGAGACTAGACAGCATCCTTCTACCTGTCCCTCTGGTTCCATCCACTCCCGTGGAATGACACTTGTACTGAGTGGAGAAGCTTTTGTGAATGCTTTGCATCAACATGAGAACACCAGCCATTTGTGCTAAAGGTGACCTGAGAGAACATACACAACCTGCCAGAACTGTCTTATTCAGAAAGAAAGAAGGTATCTGACCTGGAGTCACTGAATTGCGGAATCACATTTCACTGTCAATGAGAGGCTCCACTGAGCAACACAACTTTTAAGGTTAGAAGTCATCTCCTAGCTAGTCATCTTCCTCCAACTCCTATTAAAAAGTCCCCAGAACTTCACCTGATGACTCTCAACTGAGCAAAATAATTTGTGTTTCCCTGGAGTATGACTTCCAGAATAGTACAGGAAATCCTGCCTGAAAATTCAGGCAATAGGTGTACTGGGTGAGTCTGTGAGCATCAACTGTACTCTAAGAAAACCATCACTTGCACATTTCCTCACTTCTCTTCCACATCCCTCCTACCTGTCCTCCTCTGCACACTGCCAATTCCTCCTAACATCATCCATGCTCATTCGATCACTAATGTAATTGCTGCCAAGGCATTTGACTAGTGTTGTGGGCAAATATAATAATTAGATGTGCACACACACAAAAATTCTCAATGCTCTGGTACCAAAATCCAAAAGAGTGCTCCATTTCCTAGGCAGAAGAATTATACCCCCGCTGTGTTCTAATCAACCAACCATCATCAAGACAATCAAAATAATTTGCCTAAATTAGCCAATCAAGACACCCTGCAAACTGCAGAATGTGAAAAGCTACAACAGAAATCATCATAGTTGATTATTATACTAATAATCACGTTAAAAACCTAATGAGATGAGGAAATTGGAAGCTTGCTGGAGCAACTCTCTATTACCTCAACATGCTGGGAACTAATTATATAGACTGTAATTAAAACAAAAACAAACCCAAGCCCAGGCCTTGGCTAAGTTAATAGTTGGTCCGGTAATAAACGGAATAGAATAGGAGACAGTAATAAAGACTGACACTCACTAGAGATCCCAGAGGTACTCTACAAACTTTGCAAACAGATGACACACACGCTGCCTCCTCCAGCTCAGGAACCAGGAGCAGCTGAACAGTCCATCACTCTACATGGCAGCTCAGGGCCGACTTGTTCTGATGGCTCCTTTTCTCCTTTGTCTCCTGTCTGACCACTGACACACGCTACTGTGCTTATTCACAGACTTATTTATCAAACCAGTTCTCTAAAATGTCCTTTTTTTCAATCTAAAGCCTGGACTTTCTTGCTTAAGGTCCCAACACCTCTCCAAAAAGTCCAGTTTCCTACAGAAGCTGTTCCCAGATGCGTCTCTGTGCCTGTACTGTGAGCAGCGATTCCCATGTGCTGATACCCACATTTCTTCCAATACTATTTTTGCTGATTTGTAAACTAGTTTTCCTCTTGTAAAGCTTGCTAAACCAGGTGTATTGAGTACAGGATGAATTTCTTGCACTTTCAAGACTCCTAATAACTTCCAGAGTTGTAAAGTAGATACACAAGGGATAAAAATCTGGTTTATGCCTTACATTGCCACCTTGAAAACTAAACTCACTGATGCCCAAGCCCTGGGGAAAGAAGTAATTCTTAGCAGTAAGAGCACCAAACATTTTCAACATCACTAAGCCACTATGTGAAATTTAGCAAGTCCCTTCAATTACTTCTCTAAGTTATTTTAAAATCAGTAACAGATCTAAAGAAATAACTACACTACACAAGAAACACAAAAATTTAATTGTATAATTACATTTTAGAAGACAAAACAATACTGAAACAAACGAGATCTTTATTAATGTGGCAGTCATGAGTTCAGCCAGGTAACAAGAGAGACTTTAGCATTCTGAATGGCCCCACTGAATGCAAAAGGCCACTCCTGTATTTGAAGTTAGATGTTTGTTCCCATACTCCACTTAACTCTGACACCAATGTTGGCATTAAATGCCTGACTAAGAACCAAAGGAGAAGCCAGAGTCACTTACGTGTCTCCTGGCCTCAGGTCAAGAATACCACCGTGTTCTAGGCCCTTTTACTTACATGAAATCTCTGATCCACCTCATAGTTGACCTGTTTCCTGAAGTCCTTACAAACGAAACATACAAACACGGGAAGACAAGAGAAAAAAAAAAAGCAGAAGAAAGCTAGCAATTAGGATGAAAATTAAAGATTAATTAATTCAAGAACACAAGAAGTGCCAAGATTGTTTACAATTGTAAATTAATTTTCTTAAGCGAATTCATCAAAACCATCTCAAATTTTAGAGAACAAAAACAGTAAAGAGAGAACTATATATAGTTCATACAGCATTTAATTTGGGAAAAAACACATCAAACATCGATGCTATTATGAGCTAGGAACCAGAGAGTTCTGAGCAGCATGAGAGATATCAAAATACCTTCTGTGCTACAAGGAAAGTCAGCCTCCGAATCCCGTGTTCAATCAGGACTGATTTCTGTAAAAAGGTAAGGATGGAATCAAGTGACTGGATGAACACAAAAAGAACACATCAAAACCATCTCGAAATCTTCTATGGACTGAAAAAGCTCTGCAGATCCTCCTGCATCTATGCTGTGAGTTCCTAGCCCACTTCAGGCTACTGATAGCTGAGTCTGCTCATCTGATGATCGCCCAGGAGCACACAGAGGCAAATGCATTAAATCTGGAGAGGTAAGTAACCAAATCGCAAGCACACAGCGCTCCAGCTGAGCCTGGCTCACCAGGAAAGCAGAAGGGCTGTTTACAAGTCTTGCAGGATAGATTCTGGTGCAATTTGCTGAAGTAAGCTGGTGCTTTTTGCAAAGATGACTTTTTGAAGCACAGCATGGACATTGTAAAGCCATGGAAGATGCTGGAGAAGGAGTTTTAAAGGAACTGACCCAAGGAAGCACGTAGCACATACTTGATTTTGGCACAAGAAGCACACAGCCAACCCACACCAAAGGACAGATCTGTCATCATTGCCAAGGTGACACATGATAGGTGTCACTTAGGTTTTTCAAACAGATGCTAGAATATCCCTTCTGGTTGCTTCTTTATCAAATTCCACGTTTCAAAATCAGTATTTGCCACACCACTGATCTTATGAAGTGTTAAGATTTTATAATTCTGCTCTGATTTCTAAAACTTTTTCCTTTCTCCTCCTTTTTCTAATTTAAAAGCAAAGAAAAAAAAAAAAGAACAAAAAAAAGAAACAAGAAACAAGAACTCAGCTAGACCAGGAACAAAACAACCCCTTTCAGCACAGATTGAAATGTTTTACTAAGGTTAAGCCCTTTGAAAATGAGCATCAGTGACTATATTCATGGCAAGAGGAAGAAAATAACTTTAATAATGCCATGATTTAAAAAGCAAAAATTGTTATTGCTTTTAAAATTCCACAAGTGGCAGACAATAACAGCATAGCAACAGGATCCTGATTACATCGTAATAATGTGGGTCTCACAGCAAGTCCACAGCTATTACAGAGCGATTAGCCATCAGCACCTGGAGAAACTCCATTTACACTGACTGCCTCAATCTCCTCCACAAGTCATTTACAAGTATATGATCCTAATTTCTATTAAAAAAACCACACACAACATGCTGGGACTAGAAGATTATTTGGACAATTTGGATCAACCTATTTGATAGTTTAATGTGTTTTGGAATTTTTTTTTTTTTACTTCTTTCCTTTTATCCCCTCCCATAAAACGCCTGGAGCATGATCAAGCAGATGAAAAGCAGAACTAGTTTTAATTTTTATATTTTATTATTTCCTTTGCTTAAAGAGACAGGAAGCTGCTGACATCACATGGATACCAGCCCCATTTTGGAACCCCTCATTTCTGCAGAAGGTATTACCACCTCCCACACTGGGCAGAGAACTTAGAAACCACTCGCTCAGTCCTCCCATAGTCATTGCAGGTACCACAGATGCAGCAGGGTCCCAGTGCCTGGTGGCCTATTTACCTCCAGGAGCCAGTGGAGGAGTTCTTCACACCAACCAGAAAGCAAGTGCAGGCAGACAGGAGAGGGCAACGGACACAAGGAGGCTATCCCCAACTCATGTTGTCTCACAAATGACCACAGGACTAACATTTGGTGCTCTAAAATGTATCTCAGGCTTAAGGAGCAACAGAACATACCAAATCAATTCCACCTTGTGCCAGAAATATCATATTAGGTGGGTGCTCCAGCATGCCAACAACAAGGAGAACAAATTTTAATTGCATTAAGATTGTTGTGATATGGAAAATACGGGCCATTTTAATGTCACTTTCCATGCTCTGTTACTCATATAACAACTCTGCCACCAGGGAGAGGGATAAAGCACATTTTTTCAGAGCATCTGGAGGTAGGTACTGAAGATTGACCTGATCTATTTAAAACCTTAAAGGTCTCTCACCCTATCAAAAACAAAAGGGAAGAAGTCCTGACCTGATGGATTAGCATGCACTGCAAAGAGAAACAATGACCTGGAGGCTTCAGAAAGGTGCAGCTACATCCAGTCAAAGAAGTGGTAAGGTTTTACATGGGATAAATTGAGGGTGTAACTCTTGCATTTATTTGTTTGGGGGGAAAAAAGAATCAAACAAAAAACCGAGGAACCTACTGGCTTTTCCCAAAGCAGCCAGAACTGTTCTGCACAATCACACAGCTCCAGAGAGAGAATCAAGGCAACTTACCTTGCTCTGCGTGAACTCCCTGAACATGGCTGCCAGCCCATCATCATCAACGTCACTGTCTGTTTTAATAGCAACATTAAGAATGTGAATGGGCTCCTCACGGGCTGCCTGCAAGACAAAGAAAATATTCCCCATAAATAAATAGTTAACACCTTAACACCTGTGAGCTCTCTAAACAGGCTCCCTAAATACAACTCTAAAACACAAGGTGTCCTAAGGAAAATGACCTCAGCAGAGCATGCTGGAAACCAAGGAAAAACATGAGGGAAATCCTTCACCAAGCACCCTCACAAAGTGCAGCTTCACAGATGTAAGAGTTAATGTCCACAAACAGCAAACAAGAGCTTCATTTGGAGAATCCAATTCTGATGGTCACATCTGACTTGGCTAACTCAAGTGTGCTTCATTTGGATGCAGAAAGAATGCAGGGTCAGGTCCTCTCTTTACAAGATGCAGCACAGGCAGGGCATAAGAGGACTTTGGCATCAAGAAAGGTAATGAAATTAAGTAAATTCAAAGTGTAGGAGAAGAACAACATGTGGTTTTGTATCTACAACAAAATGAAATACTGTGGAAGCATCAATTACGTTAGAGCTCTGAGAAACGACAAATTTAGCATTTAAGAGCCTGCAGATGACTGTGAAAAACACAGTATGAGCAGGAAATTATCACTGGTGAGGTGAGGGGGAGGCAAAGAGAGAGATCTGCGGACATTGAGGGTGAGGGTAATATCCTGGAACACGCCTCCAGTACTTCCACACATCAAGATCAGTGGATCAGTTTAAAACCAAGCCCTGTTCTGGACACAGACTGTATTCCAACAGAGCTTCCTGCTGTTGGAGGGCAGGACAGAGCAATGGAGCAGTGATCTGTGTCTCTAAGGGAAACTGGTCTTCTATCACTGAGGAGTATAAACCATCTGCTGCCACTGCACCTGTTCTCCACACCAACGCAAAAATTGAGGGGTTCCTCTCATCTCTTCCTCCTAAAAACAGTTCTAAGTGGTAGAACAGCGGGAAGAATCAGAAGGTAATGTGACTAGGAAGGGTGTAAGAGAAAATAAGGCAAATCAGACTTAAGGTAAAGGCAGTAGAATATGCAGTTCAACACCTCAATGCACAGAGAAGGTCTGGAAACTTAATTGTGGGTCTGAACTCTCAGTTACGCTGCTGTGGCTCCAGTAATTCTGCTGATGTTAAAATCTACAAACTAAATTTACATGGAAAGTAAGAGACTTAGCTGTAGTTTTAGAATAGAGTCAGAAAATGGCCACCTACTTTGAATCACCTGCTGTGGAACAAGCAAACAAATCACATACATAAATACATAAAGCTCTTAACTCCTGCTTCCAGCACTCCAGCTAGTGAAAAGTATCTAGCCTGCAGTCACTGCGGCATTCTGCAGGCCTTCTGTTTCCAACCTGAGAGCAATCTCCAGAGAAAAAACTACCATACCTTGTCTTCATCATACAAGGAAGCATGGCCAGCTTCGGGGAAGGTTGGGCTCTGGGGAGGAGAGTCGCAGAAGCAACCCATCACTTCATCAAAGATTCTGAAATACACCAGAGAAGTATTAGTCATCAACACACTGCTGCTAGCCCACTGCAAGCATCTAGTGCTAAAATCCCAAAATCATGTTGCTGAGGAGAGGAGGGAGAGAAAAGGACTCCTTCCTTTGCAGGACAAACTCCAAAGATGAGGAGGCAATACCTCCTCCAGTTCTCAAACCAAAGCAGGACTGGATCTTCTAACATTTGTCAGAGATCTTATGGTTGCAGGCCCTCACAAATGCTATGGGCTCTGCTGGGGTTTTTTGCCCACACCTACAAGGTTAAAAGCATAAAGAACACACTCTCCCACATATATATGCGTGAATAAGAGCGTTAGAAGAAATCAGCACAATTGCAAATGCTCTCCAATCAGCAGAAATTCAGGATGCTGATCCTCCTGGCCGCAAACTGCTCTTACAGAAGTCTGAAACTTTCAGTTCTCTCAAGGAGACAGACAAGGGGATCCAAACAACCCTCCACCTGAAACTCCAGAAACTTAGCAAACAAGCTCAGGACCAGTTTAAACCTGACTCTAGACAAGGTAAAGAGTTCTCCCAGTTCCATTTGGGCCCACCTAGGAAGCTGGTACCACAAACACTCGCCACCTTTCCCCACGTACCTGACAAAATCCTCGAAGGTGCGGAAGGAAACCATTCCACCCATGCGCTGGCACGGCGGGGTGAATGAATTGTCTAGCAGCACATCACTCACACTAGCTACATGGACCATCCCGTAGTGATTGAGGTTGGAAGAGAAGGACATTCTAAACAGCAATTCAATAAGATCACAGTTAGTAGGGACAAGGGAGAGAAGAATATCACTGGATAAAGATCTGTGCACGTGGCTTTGAGTGCTTGCAGTGTGGTTGTTTATCCAACACAACCGCTGCACGATTTGTTAGATTCTTCAGCACACCAGACCTGCTGTGCTGTCTTCTCCAAAGTCCCTGCAGTGCTGGCATGGCCCTGGTGCCATTAATGCCCTTACATGGACCTTGGCCCAGTGTATAGGAACAGTAAATGGTTAGGAAATAATGTTACAACCCTTTAAAACAGGTACTTCTTGAGGTGACAGGTGAATTGTGACTACGCAAAGCCAAACGCATTTTTCCTCCTGTATGTCTGTTTTGGTTTCCAGGTGGAATACTGAGATAAACAGCAATAATTCTAAGCTTTGACACTTTAAAGATTTAGTAAATTTTTCCAAATGAAGTTAAAGTGTACCAAGCTGTATTATCCTACTGCTTCCACAATTTTTCTGGTCATACTGTACTTTAGGTTCCTCAAATGCAGAGTGGTACAGTGCCCTCTCTAAAATCCTATACTGGTGACAGGGTTTTCTGTAGCCTTACACTAGTACTCCTGCCCTAAATACAGTCCCTTCTACAGTGCCTTCCACTTAACTGCTGAGCAAATTGATGTGCTCCTCCAGCTAATTGAATCCATACTTTTAAAACATTGCAACTCCCCCTACTCATTTATTTGGCTCAGTTTTGATTGTTGAAAGGTAGCAGCTGCTAAATACAAGCAGTTGGCCACAGAACACATCTGTCTTAAGGAGCAAGGAGCTCCAGACACTTACCATGGTCATACTCATGCCTGATGTCTCCTGTTTAAGCACTGAGCTACTCTGCAGTACGCACATCACTCGCACAGGACTGATTCCTTATTTAAGTGAGGAGGACTGGAACAGACTTACACCAGCTCAGAGGAAGGCACTGAGTAAGGGACTTCTATTTAAAGCAGGAGCACTGGTCACTAAAGGTCAGCATTCCTTCCTGGTAGAGGGCAAGATTCTGAGCATATTAGAGTATCACTGAGTTCTCATGCAGCTCAACTGCTAGAGCAGCACACATCAGTTGTGAAATAGTTGGTGTTATTTGGGGCTTTGGGCTATTATTTTTATGGTGTTTTAAAGACCCACAATGTTATGGGCAAAACTAGCAGAGGAAGTTTCTCTCACAGTGAACAAATAGCTCACAACTAAGGAGACATCCTTTCCCTAGCTACTAGAATTGGGTTTTGCCTTCTCTGCAATAATTATTTAGAATTTCTGAACTGCGCTATGGAGTCATCTTAATTCACTGAGACACCTACTTCAAAAGCTCCCTGCAACATGGTGAGACCTTCAAACTTGCTCTGAAGAGACAGAAATGCCAGGCAGGCACACAGCAGTGCTCTGCAACACAGGAACAGTGCGTTCTCACTTGCTTTGCTCTCCCCCAGGGTTAGGAAGACATTCACAAAGCTAAATTTCTGTCCTTCCCAACTGGTGCCACAGCAGGAGGCAGAAGGCAACGGGGAAAAAAAAATCAGGGCAGTGATTCAGCACAGCGCATGCTTGATTTACAACTTGTGAAGTCAAAAAGATGCTCAATGGCTGTGTTGGATCAGATGCCAGTAGCACAGCAGGCAAACCAGGGGCCCAGCCGTGCTGGCCACGGCCCTGCTGCCATGCACACCGAGCCTGGCCCAACCCGGGGAGAGCTGACACTGCTACTTACCAGCTTTCCTAAGATTTCTGTCTTTCCACGTACAGAAAACCATTGTGATATGGTCCTAAGTATATTGTTAACAAGTTTAAAGTAGCATCAGTTTGATTAATAGCTCTCCATGTTTAAAGTCACTCTATGTTTCCATAATTTATCTCTGATTAAGAGCCACGAGACTTTCAAGCCTGTTTTTACTATTTTTCCCTAAATAGGCTTGTAAGCAGTAATAAATAATAGGTATTCACGTTTTGAAAGAGAGAAATTTTTCAGGACATGCCTTGGTGTACATTTCTTACAACTAATACAAAAAATATCACAGAACAGTAACTAAACAAAGAGACAGCAGACATTTTTCATGTATTATTTAGAACAAGAAATACTTTTCAACTGAGACACGGGAGGAAAAATTAGCATCCAAACACAACAAAACATGCTGTCAGCTGTTGGAGATGTAGATTCATCTATGGTGTGAGGGAGGTGAGACAGCCTCGACAAATTCTAAGCTAGTTGCAAGAAACCAGAGTAGCAACAGGTCTGCTATCGGCGAGGAGCAACTGCCTGTTTCACTGTGACATCCTACCAGAGGGTCAACAGCTGAGAATCCAGTTCCAAAAAAGAGACCCTAGAAACAGCATTCTGCCAGAAGTTTGCTGTGTACCATACTGCAGATGAGCTGAGTCACCTGGCTAATTTAGTTTTAAAGATTGCTGCATGCAAAGCTTTTTTAAAGGGTAAAGAAAAGCTGAAAACATGTTTTAGACAAAGGGAGAGGAAAAGGGAAGGAAAAAGCAAGAGTTATGTTTGAGAGCTTCCCAAGTAAGGATAAGGGCACTAAAACAAAACATGTTAAAACATTAAGTATTAGGCTACTTCTTTCTAGTCTGTCTTTTCAAATTTTAAAAGATGACAAGTACCATACCTGTTTAGCGTGGGGATGTTCCCTCTGTAATCAAACAACCACAGTTAGTTACAGATTGGTTAGTGAAAGCCATAATAAAGAACCATCATCAAGCTGATACAGAGACCAGCAACAAAGTTTACAATTTATTCAACCAAAATTTGTCAACCATCAGGTTATCAGGCAGAATTAAATTTCATTGACCCTGAGAAGGCACCCACCACCTGACTTCGCTTGCCATGGCTGCCAAGGGCATGAGCACAGACCACGCATGGAACATGCAAATAAAGACACCCCAGGAAACCCCATGGTGTTTGCGAGGTACCCCGCGTTCCTACAGCACCTCAAGCCCTTTGCATCCACCAAGTGAGCTTGACAAGCAAGACCAGAGCAGAGGGCTCGCGCTCCCTGACAGAAGGGCAACCAGCACAGATGCAAAAGGTGACCGTATCACAGAGGAAGATTGCAGCAGGGTCAGGAAAAGAAGCCAAATCCTCATTGCCAAACCTCCAGGTCAGAAAGCAGCAGCCCACGCGCCGGCTCCCACAACAGCAAACACACACATCAGCACCATGCAGTACTCTGCACTCACAGCGTTCAAGTCCTTGAATATCAAAAAGAACAAGCAGTACTTCAGGCTGATTTAGGAAAATTTTACAGTTCCTTTTATACCATCAGTCCAACTCTTCCTATTTTTTGCATGCAGGCTAGGGCATAGCGATGCATGTAAGGCAGAAAGAAGGTGAGGGGCACATTTACATGCCAGCATAAGAACAGCACAGTCTAGCCCATCTTAGCTACGTTCAGGAAAGCATAAGGTAGTGTATTGCTCCGTGCAAGACGTAGAAACTGCTGTGATCTGACATTCAAAATAGAAAAAAACTACATGCACACAGGAGGCTTGTGCAAAATTGATTAGCAAACATGAAAAGACTGAGAGCAAAGCTTCAGGGAGCACGTAACTGGACATTCACCCTCCCCTTCCCTGCAGAAACCTGGAGGAGATCAAACCACAGACCTTCTCAACACCCTTGACCATAGGCAAGACGCCAAGTTACTGGGCATGAGGTCTCGATTCCTAACGACCAGTGTATTTCCATGGTCACACCACTAAACACACTGACTGGTCCTGTTCTCAAACTGGTTTTGTCACAGCAGAGTCGTATTCACTACAAGGTTGTATGACTGGTGCATTACTGGTAGAGGCACAAAAGGTTCCCGTGGTCTCCTTAAACCATACAGGAGAAAGCACAAGATGGCCTGAGGATGTATCTGTTCAATGGTAAATAACAAAAGTATTTCATTTCATTCAGAGGCAGTGGAGAGACACTGAGCTGCAGAGCCTGTGGTCAGAACTGAAAGGGCCACAAGGCCTCAGGGCATTGAGACCTATTTTTTTTAGCTTGGCCAGTGGTGGGAAAGCTGCATGTGATCTGCTTGAGCTAGAAAAAAATAGTCCAGAGAGGACTGGCAGCTCCTACACCTGGTACACTGGTGTGGCGGTCACTGGAACTCTGTCAGAAAACAGATGGGAAGAAACCCAGCATAAAAAATGTTCCTCTCCCTCTCAAAAAAGGCACCCTGCTGCTCCAGGAACTCTTCTCCAGCCACTCAGCAGGGCAATGAAGAATTGTAATGAGGAAAACAGAAGACCCAGTGGCTGGAGATGTCAGAAGAGAAGGGAGGAAGAGCCTTCAAGCTGCACACTATGGGGCTGGCTTCACACCTACAGGTCCTCACAGCTGTGGAGGGTGTTTTTGCATCAGGAGCTGGACTGTCACTAGTCAATGAAATGCACTAAGAGGTAAAGGTTTGATATTTGCAGCACAATCAGGCCCCACAAAAGGCATTCCAGTCCCCTCACCGAGCTGCACCTCTGCAGCTCTGACAAATGAAACACCAGCTGGAATCCAGCCTGCCTGGCCTTCAGGCAACACCAGTGCAACCAGCAGCACCACAGTCCTGGGAGCTAACTAACGGCACAGCTGATGGAGCGTGTGCCAACAATGTTCTCCACAGTCAACCCCACGTAGCTGATCCCAGGATCAGAAACCCTCTCACCACACCAGCCCCAGCCTTTCTCCCTGTCTCTTTTCAGCCTCTCACAAGGTCCTTCTTGACCAGGGACGCTGATCTCGCCAGGGATCTGCTCCATACCCATGCGAGCTCTACTGCTACAATTAGTCCTTCTGCTCAGGCAAACAAAAATCCCCTGAGGTCCCTCCTGCACCTCCTGCTTGAATCTGTATTTGTTTCCCCTCGCCCCTCCCTTTCTTTTTCCTCTTTCTCAACAAGAGCACTCCCCTATGAAAATGATGGCAAGGCATGCAAAGCGCCACTGGTCACATCAAGCTGTGATGGAGTGCCAGAGCAG